GTCGCTCTCACCCGTGGCTCAGGCTCTGGGTGTCCAGCAGCGAAATGCTCAGATCAGTCTCACCTTGGGACCTGAACGCTTGGTTTTTCCCCCCTATCTGGGCACCACGAGCTCCTTCCTGGCACCACGAGCTACTCCCGAGGCCTCACACCTCCCAGCGAGCGTCTCCCTGCATTGAGCTCCACATAGCGCCGCCAAGAGCGAAGGTGGCACTTACCTCCGGCATCTCTTCGTCTTCCTCTTCGGAGGACACCTCTTCCTGCGTGCTCTGCGGGGACAAAAGGTGAAGATGGCACCGGCAGCTCCTCGCAGCAAAACTCGCTGCTCTCCCAGGCGCTTCTGAGGCGAGGGGACCCAGGGGTTTTGCAGCAGAACTGACTTAAAAGCCGAGCGAAGCCAAAAACCTTTATAGGAAACTACAGCAGAGCAGCACCGAAGCACAAAGGAGCGGGACAGCATCCCCTAGGACAGGAATCCACGCCGGGGAAGAGCAGGATATCGACACCTCACCTGCTCCGTCCCTCCTTTGTGAGGCAGGAAGCTCAAGCCTCGGAATCAAACCGCTCTGAACGTGTTTGAGGAGCTTCGAAAGGCTCCTCCCGGGTCACTCACCTGTTCTGCCGGCAGAGGCTGGTCCAGCATTTCGACGTCTGGATGTTGGGGGAGGTTGTAGAGTTTGCACAGGTCCGAGATTATTCGCTTCAGGTGCTGCAAAAGCTGCGGCGAGACCGGACGTGCGTCAGAGGAGCGCGGAGAGACCCCCCGCATCAAACCCGTCGTGAGAGCGAAGGCCCAGAGGCCGCTCCGGGGAAAAATTAAAAATAAAATCAGGCCCCAACAAACTCAGAAGTCAGAGCTGCTCGTCTGAAATGTCCCAAACCCTCAGGAGGCCAGATGCACCCCCGGGTGACCGGAGGCAGGCGGCTGTCCCGGAGCATCTGGTCTGTAGCTTAATAGATCGACTTTCTCAGTAACTCTATTTATGGTGCTGCAAACAAGGTCCATTAACTGCAATTATGCACTTGAGTTTCAAAGTTCAGGCTAATTTACGGAAATTCCTTAAAGTTTGAGTATTTGAATTTTAAAGTATTCCTAAGATGAAGTTCACGTGCTAGAGAACAAATTACCAGAAAATACGTAACAAACACAAGATGAGTTACTATCGTCACGCCGCGGCTCCCCTCCGCCCGCGCTCACCAGCGTGTTTCCTTTCCTGACTTCCA